GTAATCATGCTATACTTTATTTTCAGTTATAATGGTTTTAGGATTATGGATAGTTTATAAAGTAGAATCAATAAGATTTCTCTCTTGTTAGATATACCGGAGACAGCATATGAATATGGCTTGGTTCAAAAGCTATTAGATCTTAAATTTACTCAATGAAGGTACTTATTTTTGAAAGCTTAGATAGAAATGAAAGCAAGGGGAAACAATGTTTGAAAAGATAACTAACATAAAATAAAACCTAAATTCATCAGATGAACTTTATTCTAAATTGTTGAGTCTTGGCTCCCTCACTTTGCTCCATTCTGACCTTCGATCTTCTCAACCTTAATCTTCTTCAAAAGAACCTTTTTCTGTTCTTCTTCACTTGCTTTGGTGATGACTTGTTCACCTGCCTCATCAAGTTTGTTTATGAACTTAGGAAGATCATGTTCCTTCGGATTTTCTACATCAATGACACCATCAACTTTAACATCGGATTGTTTTTCCATGCATTGTTTCTTGCTTGTGGAGTTTTGATCAGATCCATCCGAGAAATCTTCTTTTCTCTTTGAAGAGGGGGTAGAAAAAACATCATTGGAAGTGCCCTCCTTATCAGAATTATTAGTCAGCATCAAAACCTAAAACATATTTCGTTTTTAATTAGGCGAGTAACTCACAATAAACATTACCACATAATATAAAACACACTCAAATTAGGAAAATGTATTACCTGGTCACTGGAACTCATGGATGAAAGATCCAAAGAATAATTACATTCATCTTTAGGGTCAGCTTGATTGAGGTTCTGACTTGTTAAAACCTCAGTCACTTTGTATTCATCATTTCCTCTTGAGATGTTTTCTTGCTCAACACTTACCACAAATTGATAAGTCTTTCCAATGATGTTTTTAACTACATCAGGAGGTGGAAGAGGATCATCAAGTTCCTGTATAAAGTATAGGTATAAGATTATAATCTAGCAAGAAAAGAATGGAGCTAAATTCATATGATTACATATTACCGCTTCATCAGTGCCCTCCAAGAGTTCATAAGCAGGAGTTCCGATTATTTTCTCAACAAAACTATCAAACAACATAAGCTTGGTCTCCCCCGTGTTGTCCATAACGTCTAGGTGGAGCCAGTACCTAAGACAGATATAAAAATTGTGAGAATATATCTTATTAATCACGAAGACAAATCTGTAATTTAAGGTAGGTTTAAAGCAATGACCTTGCTTCAACTGCAGAAACTTCTGCATTACATTTCTCACATCTGTTCAATATCTTCTTGGCACCATCGCTAAGAAGTTTCTTAGTTTGGAAGACTTTTTTGTTACATTTGATGTGTGCATAGTAATACCAGGAGTAGTCCAAGTCAATTTGCAAAATGGTGCAGAAGATCTTAACCTTCTCAATCTAGAAAAATAATGTAGGGTGAGTGAAGATTTAATATAATTCCCAAATACAGTTAGAATATTGCCTATATTAAAGCTGTAGCAAATACCTCATAAGAGGCCTTAAGCTCGGCAATAGTCTTGAGAGGTAACCCTAGGGACCTCTGTTCACGCACCTTTAGAGGCTCGAATCTAGGCTTAGGTCCCATGATAGTCAAGGCAAGTCCATCAGATGGAAGCCTGAACCACAACAAATTAAAGATTAAAAGCAAAATTTTAATCTATTACAAAAACAAAAGTATGTAAAAGTTTGTAGATTACTCACATTCTCCTAAAGTCATCAACAACCGGCAAAATTGGGTTGACTAAAACATCCGAAGCATCAAAAGCATTAGAAATACTCCTAATCTCTGCAAGTCATAATGGCAAACAACGATAAATATATGATGGTGTGGTTTTATATAGGGTCATGTTATTCACCAATAATAACATTACATACCTTTGTATTCTCCTAACTTGGCCCACCTTATCAAACAAATAACGACAGAACCAAGAGACTCTTGCGCAACTTTGCTAATTTGGTCAGCAAACTTTCCCCATAGTGAACATGGTAGACGGTTATCACTAACCAAAGAAAAATTATAGAATTAAAAAACCAAGATAATAAATCAGAAGAAAAGGTTTAATAAAATTATGTAAAAAAAAAAACAAAAATGCTTACTCAGTGTCTCTTAGCTGAAAATCAATCTTCTTGGTAGGTTTACCATGGACATCAATTATTTGAGCTTCTCCAACGTTAACCAATTGACCCAGAACATCTAAAACAGAATCATAGATGTAAATATATATCCCAATGATTAACGTAATATTTAAATACAAAATAAATAATTATAAAAAATACTCACCTACCAACTTATTTTGATCCAAGTTACCAGACAGAATAGTTGTAAAATCAACTAAGTCAAGCCAAACCTCATTAGAAATGGATGGTGAGGGAGAAAAGACAGTAGCGTAGTGGAAATTGATTCTGTAGGAATGAGTTGTTGATCGATATGTTCCTGTTGCCTTATTAACCGAGAATTCCTCAATTATCTTCCAATCTCCTTTCTTCACATAACGCTGGAATTTGCTGATGTGTTCCTTTTTGATGCCTGCTTGAATTTTGTTACCCTGTAAAAGAAATAAGATGAGTTATAACGTAACTCATATATATTACAATGATAAATGAAAAATGTTTGAATAGCACTTACATCCTTATCAGCTAGAATCATTTCTAACGACATGCCAGAACCTTTTGTGAAATGAATCCAGGAATGAAGTATTCTAACTTGAATTCTCCAAGCCGTTTTTAAAGGCTTCAAGTTGTTGATTGGTGTGTATCGAGTAAGCTGAGCCATTGTTGTGTTTTTTTTGTTTTTTGCAGGTTAAAAGAAAAGAGAAAGAGCCGATTTTGGTGAGTATAATGGTAAAACGAAGAGGGTTATTTATAGTTGTAGATAGTCGATTAAAATCTTTGAAGATTTGGGAAGATATTAGTTAGATAATACTTAGTAAAAGGTATATTCTAAGGTAGCAAAGAGGAATATAGAATTATAACATATATAACAAACAGATTTGACAATAATTTCAAAAAAAATTTTCCAAACTGAAATATATTTTTAGGATTCCAGTTATATGGTTTAGCTTCATCAAAGATTACGAATCTTACTTAGAAACAAAGATTTAGGTAACTTAAATTATTGTTTGTTTATATAGGATTCGACTTATATTGTTTAGCTTCATCAAAGATTACGAATCTTACTAACATTTTCAATCTCATCTTGTAAAATGATATATAATTTTCGAATAGCATTTTTTTATATAAATTTTTTTAAATTGTCGAATTGTGTTAAATTATGACTCTCGAATTGATTATTGAACATCATTGTGTTAAATTGTCGAATTGATTAGAATAAGACATTCTTGAATTATATTGAATTAGATTAAACTATATTAATTATTGAAATTATATAAAAAAATCTTTTGATATCTTTAAACCCGTTAATTATTTAAACCCGCCCGTTGACCCGTTAAATATATATTAGTGAAATGGAATCTACCAATTACACAATATACTATATGTATGACAAACCGGGATGAAAATGAATTGAATGCTCCAGATTTTAGTAATTGTTGATGAAAAATATAAAATAATAACGAAGTGGAGTCTCTTTTATAATATTCAATTAGATACTGAGTATACAAGTCTTGGAGATATGGTTCATAACTAAATTTGAAAAGAAAAAACGTGGAAAAATTAACAAGAAAAGACAGAGGGAAGTGATGTGTGTTCCCATGATGAAGCACCTTCGTGGTACAATCGTCCTTACCCAAATATTTCAGTCTGCCACTTCCTTCAGACATTTCATCCAATCTCACCTAACCATATTAACTAACTGTCCACCACCCAAATTTCTTCTATAATTTTCCTTACGTAATTAAATTCAGTTTAACTGACGTAAGTTTAATTTAATGTGATTACATCATATTTAACTAGCGACTACTATTGGGTTTTATTATAATTTGATTTTGATAACACTCTGCATGAAAAGCGTTGTTTATGCGATTAAACAAATAAATAGTTGAGAAAACATTAATTCATGTTTTGGATTAGGTAAACGCAAACTCAAACATCTACGGGTCTGACTGGTTTAAACGCAGCGGTTGCGGTTGCGGTTGCGGGAGTTTGCGGAAGCGGGCGATTGCGGTTTCAAGCGTTACCAAGCGTTTTGAACGACTGGTTTAGCGTTTGAAAATGGATGCGTTTGCGGAAGTTTTATGACTGGTAAACCAGCGGGTGCGGTAGCAGTTAAATAAAAAATGACTAAAAAAATAAAAAATATTACAAAAAAAAAAAGAAATAAAAACACCAATATATTATTATGATAATATTAGAAAAATTGAACATGCTTAATAATTAAAACCATAAATAAAGTACTAAATAATTATTCAAAAATAAAAAAATTTTATAATAAGATAGTACTTTATGCTGGGTCGTTAACACCAAAAATTGTATCAAGTAATGGAACAAACTGTAAATAACGTTGAATTCAATCAAAAAGCAAGTAATTTTCTATTCGAGAAAACAAATCGAAACATATATTCAATCAAAAAGAAAAGCAATATATAATGAAAGAAAAAAATATTCAAATTGATTTTCATCAGTTTGGGTGGAAGACATTGAGAAAATAAGGTTTTAGAATATTGATTAGGGTTTCTGATGAGAACGTGATACAAAGATGAAAGATATATATAAGATTAATATATTTTATAATAATTATAAGTAAACGTTTGATTTTTTTTTTTTTTTTTTTTTTTTTAAAATCCAACCGCTACCGCCCGCAACCGCAAACGCTTGCGGGAAAGAGCTTTTGAAATTCAGCGATTTCGAACGGTTTGAAGCGGTACGGAGCGGTTTCTATGATTGGTACCAACCGCTAATAACCGCAGCCGACCGCTAGCAACCGCTAGGAGGGTGCTAGCGGGAGAACCAATCAAGCCCTACGTAGTGAATTAACAGTTGAGGTCTTTGTCGGAAGTCCATCTATATAATCCAGGATTCAGTTTCAACTTTTACCATAGCGAGTGATAAAAAAACGTTGTTATTTATACAAAACGAAAACAAAATGCAGGAGTAAAAAAAGGGATGTGAAACTGTGATTACAGAGAAATTTAAAAAAGGAAAGGAGTAGAAAGATTCTTTATTTAGGAAGTGGCAACACATAAAGATTCCCAATTTAGAAATCCTCTGTTTTCTCGATCTCCTTCAATACATCTTCTTGATCTTTGTGCTTTCTCAACACTCTTTACTTTGATTTCTTCTTCTTTTTTTTCTTCAACTTCTTCTTCGTATACTGGAATCTCTTCTTCGGTATTTCTCACGGTCTCGATTGTCTCTTCTTCTTCTTCTTTGGTCTCTGTCTCTATGTGGTCATCAGAATCAATCAAGATAGCGAGTCTTACACATCCATTGCTTCGGTCCTGAAGGCAACGATTACGCGGAGGTGGTCTCGTGGCCGTTATTACCAATCTTCCATTTTCACGGTGTGACTTGACTTCAATGCAATCAAAACCTCTCATACTTGCCAAAGGAGGTGGAAGTGAAGCCATCGTATTCCTCTTCATATCTTGTCGTGATGGGCTTGATGTTGTCGACGTAGTTCTAGTTTCCATGGTTTGTAATTTAGATGAAATCGAAAACATATCTTCATCTTCACGAATGATATCAGAGCCGGTCTCGCTCCCGAGGCTCTCAGTGCACAATGCCAAGCTCTCATCGCTGAGAGTTCTACGAGCAGATGGAGACTGAAATAGTGATAATGTCTTCTTCTCTTTATCATTAGAGCTCGAGTTTGAAAGGGACTCGAGGAAGCTCCAACTTCCCGAGTTAGCGTCCGAGTTAGAGCCGGGGTTGGGACCTGATAAGGAAAAGGAGGCTGCATTAATGGTAGTAGTGTTGTCTTGTGGAGCAATGGAAGAATCTTGGAAATGGGATTTAAGAGGTGTGGATAAGTGAGGATTTGTATGAGAAGAAAGTCTGAGTCTGAGAGCTCTTGGCTCAAAGTGTTGAGACTCAAAATAAGATTGATATACAACAGTTGCCATAAGGTTTAAGGATGAAGATTTCTTGTTAGAGATTTTGTTGGTATGTGTAAACAAGGAAGCAGAGAGAGACAAGTAGGAGAGAAGATGAGAGAGGCTTGGAAGTGAATTTGAGGGATAAGGAAAGGGGAGAGGGTGTCAATTTGTAGTGCCTAAAAGTTACCTTTTTTACAAAAGAAAAATTAAAGAAAAAAAACGAGAAAGAATTATTTAGTATAGTGTATAGAGAGAGAAATGGTGGGTAAAAGAGCTTTTTCCACACTCCACTTGAATAAAATGAAAAACCATTTATTTATGCCACATAATGTAAGAATATATATACACATTAAAAAATGAAGGGAAAGAATGCGGTCATTGTACAGTTCCATTCCATATGTGTAATATACACTGAAAATATTTATGTCTATTATTTTACAAAGAACTTTTTTTTTGTTATAGGTTAAAGGAAAGCAATTGTGCAAATGAAGGAAGCTTGGTCAATCATAGTTTTTCACTTAAATAGCAAAAACAAAAATGATATGATCGAGTCAGAGTCGAGGAAGCGTCCGATCCTCGTGCATGTGAAGCGGCCAGAAAGGGCCAACCCACAAAAAGAAGGAAAGGAAAGTCCTATGAATGTTGTTTAAGAGCACATGTGTTTTTGGACCCCAAGTAATTAACATTATAAATCCTAGCCATGCCATATTGAAAATTCGAACTAAAAAAAACTTACATCTTTAGAATATTTGTTTTCTATATAATAAATTAAATTGAACCAAATTAGAAACAAAAGAAAAGACAAAGAAATGTACTTCAAATTGTGAGATATTTTATACATTAAATATAGATGTTAGATAGTTACAAAAATTGATAACCTAAAGCAAAAATCATTTTTAATCGAACTAGGCTTTGTTTCATTTTTGTTGCTTTAATTATACCCTAAACTATAACCTAATTAAAGCTATGTGGAAATTAGTATATATATATATATATATATATATATATATATATATTGTGTCGGAGTTATGTACATACCGGTTCGGAAGAAAAAACTTTGTAAATCAGTAACTATTTTTGGATAGTAGAAGCTTGGTTTCCCATTTCGTCTATTTTTCTACCAAAATTTTAGAGAACCCGACAATGAACACAACTTGTTTCCCATGATGATAATGAAAATGACTCTTTGTTTAATTTCTTCTCGGTAATAAACATAAAGATTCGTCTGCCGGTTGATTCTTAAACCCAATATACCAACATGATAACAACAGCCCAACAATTCTGAAATCTCTTTCATAAACCACAAAAGTAAATTAATACTAAGATTATGGGCAGCAATCAAGGCGTGGATATCTAGAGAGGAATGTTCGTGAACTGAAAATATGCATGCATCATCCACGAGATAAATTATTAAAAAAATAAAATAAAAAAATAACAAAGTGTGTCAAAACACGCTTACCCAACAACGCTGTATTTGAATGCAAAGAACAAAACCCATTTTCCGCCCACTTGTTATGACCTAAAATGATATTCTATCCGTTTAAAAATATAAAGCGTTTTAGCTAACAATACACTGATTAAAAAGATTTACTTTTAAGAGTTTAGCCAATTATAAGAGAGACTACATAATAGAAATAATTATAAAAATTAAAATAATATATATTTTGTATAAAAACTTAAAAACGACTTATATTGTGAAACAAAAATGTTTTCCAAAACATCTTATATTTTGAAATGAAGAAAATATAAAATACCATTAAATTACATCACTTTAAATCCTTTTTTAAAAAATCGCTAGGCGCAAGTCGGACGTTAGATATGGGCCTAGCGATTAATGGGAAAATCAGATTAAAATCGGGGATTAATTTTAAGGTTATTTTAATAATTTTAAAAATATATTAATCTAATATTGTTTTCAAAATTGTAGTAAACACATAAAAATTTATTTTAAGGCAAATTTTATGATTTTTTATTAAAAATTATGACTTTTATTAAAAATTTGAACGTAAATTATTGTAAAACATATAACAAACTTCTAATTCAAATGTTTAAATAATAAAAAAAAGAGTTGTTTTATACTTGCAATCAAAAAAGAATCGAGATATATAAAAATAGGCGGAAAATAATCGGATTAGGCGGGAATTAATCGGATTAGGCGGAGAGTAATCGGGTGACTGATTTTTTTAAGGGATTAGTCATTAATCGAGGCGGAGAGAGTAAGCCTAACGATTAAGCGGGGAGTAATCGGGGTAGGCGGAGATTTTTGGAACAAAGGCTTTAAATTATTGAAAAATAACGAATCAAAAACATAAATGGGTCATCTTAACGGGTTACGCGGTAGATTTTTTCAGCTTCTCAGATCAATGATATTTTAAGCATTTCATGCATGTATTTTATAGTTGGATTTATCAATTTTTTAAAAAATTTCGCGGTATTATTATTGGAAAATAAAAATTGAAAAGAGAGAGGAAAAAAATTCTCAAATACATATATAGTGATATCTATTTTTTTTTTTTTCTCCTTATAGTGATATCTATAGAGGTGGAATATGGGCATAACTATTACATCGAAAGTCAATCACTACAAATTGTGTATGTTTTTTTTTTCTTCTTGTAAGGATCATAATATGAATTTATATGTAAGTATTATATGTCCAACTTTCTAAACTTAAAAACTTTCCGCTTATGAGAGCAGACGAATAGAAGAAAGCCACCTAGGTTTCTACTTTGGAATATTCTCTCTAAAATTCAGGACATTGTGGTTATAAATAGTAATCCAGGTTGGGTTTGGTTGGAACTTGGATTAAGTTAACATCAAACTTTGTCCTTCTTCTCTTTGGCTAGCCAACACTAAGTTGCTTTTTCACTCTCCAAGTCCAACCCATGTTACCCCTATAAAATCGTACGGAGTAGCTTATGAAGACACAAAGTATATTAGACTCGTGAATCAGCAATTGATTCCCCACTATCACTTTCTCTCTTCTGTCTTCACTGTTTTTCAGATGCTTACGCTATATAATGTACGAAAAACCCTAATTAATTATAAAACCCTTTTCTTTCTGAAAAAGAAAGGGACAAAACAACACTTGCGTTCAACTTTTACAAGTAAATAAATGCCCTAAGGTCTTTCAGTACACACTAGCTAGCTTTTCCTTAACTCTAAGCCATGTGAATGATGATCTAAACAAACATGTTCAACAGCAACTATGTTTGCAATATTGTTTTTCTATTTTAAAACTGGAAACATTTTAAATTTTTAACGTGAAAGTCTTAATAAGACAAGGATGAAGAGAAAATCTTTATTGAATATTTCTGCTTAAAAGATTACAATGATAAGAAAGGGTTTATATAGAAATACCCAAAATAGAGACTCCTAGGTCACACGTCACTAAGCACACATCACGACAGGGGAACAAAGCGAATCAAATCTGTTGTGCAATTGTATTTTGTGAGCTGTGACGCCTGTACGGAGATGAGCTGGAGCCGTCGTACGGTTTGACTGTGAGGATTTGTTACCGTTGCAGGATGAGGACGAGATAACGACTGTGGGCTTGCTGGGCTTGATATTTTGAGAAAGGCCCAATGCCTTGTCTGGTCCAAAACCAGAAAGCAGAGCTTCTGGTTGAGGCAGAGTATCTCTTTGATTAATACACCCCCTCAAACTTGGTGTGGGAGGCAGGACAACGCCAAGTTTGTAACGCAAGTCAAAGAAAGGCTGTTGAGGTAGCGACTTAGTGAAAATATCTGCGAGTTGTTGAGCCGCAGGTACATGTTTCACGATCAGAGCTCCCAAGGCAACACGTTCCCGAACATAATGGAAATCCACATCAAAGGCTTTAGATCGATTGTGCATTGCAGGATTAGCAGTAAGATAAACTGCAGAAAGGTTGTCGCAGTACAGTTCAGGCGTGTCAGGTTGAGAGATTCCGGCTTCTCGAAGTAAAGATGATAACCATTTGAGTTCAGTTGCAGCAATAGACAATGTTCTGTACTCAGCTTCTGTTGAAGACCTTGAGACAGTAGGATGTCGTTTAGCAGACCAACTGATGATGTTTGTGCCTAGAAAAGTACAGAAACCACCAACTGATCTTCTTGTTTCTTTGCAGTTAGCCCAGTCACTATCACTGTAGGCTCGCATTGTGCTGTCTGTATTGGATGAAAGATTTAATCCCATTTGTACAGTACCCTTGAGATATCTCAGAACACGTTTGAGAAGATTGAAGTCAGCTACAGTCGGTGAATGCATCTTCTGGCAGACTAGATTAACAGCAAACTGTATGTCAGGACGAGTCAGAGTAAGGTACTGAAGTTTACCGGCTAGGCTTCGAAAATATGTAGGGTCTGAAAAGATTTCTTGTTGTCCAGGGACTTTATCTAGCTGCAGTGGTAGAGGTGTTGGCATAGGAGCACAATCAGCCATTCCGGCTGCAACCAAAAGATCAATGGCATATTTTTCTTGATGTAGAAATAGTCCTTCAGAGTGATAATGTGCTTGAATCCCAAGGAAATAGTGTAACAGCCCCATGTCTTTCATTCTGAACTCTTTGTTGAGTGAGGCAAGAAGAGTTTTAAGGAGCTCACTGTTATTTCCTGTAAGCAACATATCATCAACATAAAGTAAGAGGAACATTAGGTCTTTACCTTTCACATATACAAATAGAGATGGGTCTGAGTAGGTGCAGGTAAAGCCAAATTCAAGCAGATATGAGCTGAATTTATCAAACCAAGCTCTTGGAGCCTGTTTTAATCCATAGATTGCCTTGTTTAACTTGCAAACATAGTCTGGTCTATCTTGATTCTCAAAACCAGGAGGTTGATACATATACACTGTCTCCTTTAAATCACCATGTAGGAAAGCATTCTTGACATCGAGTTGCTTAATTTCCCATTTGTTAAGTATTGCCACATGTAATATAGATCTTACTGTAGCTACACGAACAACAGGGCTATAAGTCTCTATATAGTCCACCCCTTCTTTTTGTTCATAGCCTTTTGCTACCAAACGAGCTTTCAAACGATCAAGAGAACCATCTGCCTTTAATTTGGTTTTAAAAACCCACCTGCAGCCCAAAGGAGTAATATTTGGATCAGGAGGAACTAAATCCCATGTATGAGTTTCATGAAAGGATTCAACTTCTTCTCCCATAGCACCAGTCCATCCTTTATCCTTC